CCCCTCGTCAGTCCCTGTTTTCCCTGCCCCACCCAGGCCAAGACGAAAGGAAACAAGGTGAATGTGGGGGTGAAGTACGCAGAGAAGCAGGAGCGGAAATTCGAGCCGGAGAAGCTAAGAGAAGGGCGGAACATCATCGGGTTGCAGGTACTGCCCTGTCCTCACTCAGCAGAGGTTATAGAAGCCAGGAGCGCATCCTGGTGTCTGAAGGCTTTTGGGGACAGGATATTTGGCATTAAGTATACTATAGGTCGGGTAGTGTGCTTATCTGCACCTTCCATTCACAAACTCACTCTGCCAACAACCCTAGCAGAGAGGTACTTGTTCTCACCATACCCTTTCCACAGATGAGAACACTGAGGCTTGGAGAAGCTGGCTCGCTTTTGCCTAGATCTTCCAGCTGATGCGTGGCAGGCTGGGACTTGAATGCTAGAAGTCAGTCATGTGATAGGCCCACTCTGGGCCTCAGTTTCCAGTCTCGAAATGGTGCCTCAGGCAGGGTGGAGTGGCTCACACCTGTAATTCCAGCACTTTGGGAGGCTGAGGCAGGAGGATTACTTGAGGTCAGGTGTTTCAGACCAGCCTGGGCACCACCACCTCTACAACAAATTTAAGAGTTTAGCCAAATGTAGTGGTGTCTGCCGGTGGTCCCAGCTACTTGGGAGGCTGAAGGGGGAGAATCACTTGAGCATTCAAGGTTACAATGATTGCATCACTGGACTCCAGCCTGGGCGACAGAGTGAGACCCTGTCTCTAAAAAATGAAAATGAGCCGGGTGTGGTGGCTCACACCTGTAATCCTAGCACTTTGCGAGGCCAAGGCGGAAGGATCACTTGAAGTCAGGAGTTCGAGGCCAGCTTGGCCAACATGGTGGAACCCTGTCTCTACCAAAAATACAAAAATTAGCCAGCGTGGTGGTGCATGCCTGTAGTCCCAGCTACCCGGGAGGCTGAGGCAGGAAAATTGCTTGAACTTGGGAACAAATGAGATGCTGTCTCAAATAAAATAAAAGAAAACAAAAAAATAGAACAAAGTAAAATGTAAAAATAAAATAAAAAATGGGCTGGGTGCAGTGGCTTACCCCTGTAATCCCAGCACTTTGGGAGGTTGAGGCGGCTGGATCACCTGAGGTCAGGAGTTCGAGACCAGCCTGGCCAAC